TTAAAGATTTTTAATTCCCCCCCCCCACATTGTGTTAGAAAACCTCTTTTATCATCACCTCGAGGTGAAAAGTTTCATTCTCTCTCACCACCCCTTGCCCTCCCTGGGGGAAAAGTTCTTTCTTGTTCCCTCCTATTTCAGAGGCTCAAGTAGAGGAGGGTTGACTGCCGGTGCTTCAGGGAATAGCGTATGCCGTGCAGGGAGGTTTCACAGCTCGCATGAGAGCCTTGTCACGGTCACTGTCCGAAGCAGGTAAAAGCAGTGACAGCTATGCCTGACTTTAGTATTTGCAGACTCCCAGATAACCTCAAACAAAATCACCAGCACACCAGGTTCTTTAGTGATAAGACATTATTTCTTATTTTGCTTGGGAGTCCACTGATCACTGCCTCACTGCTCAAGATGCTGTGCAAACCAACCAAACAAAAAAACCACAATCCATGTCTAAAGATCTTTCCGAGTGTAAGAGCAGAGACAGTGGAAATGTGGAAAACAATAAGCCGGTTTTGGTCAGTAAGATGTGCAGCAGCATCAGCGCAGCGGCAGCCTGGCCTCTGCCGAGAGGCTGTTAGCGCTGCAGAACACACGCGTTTTCAATAAAGGCTTCAAAAGCAACACACAAAATGTGAAGCTTTTGCTGCACTCAGCCACACGATCAAGGACTCTGCACCTGAAAGGCAAGCAGGGTATGCAAAGTGTAATCCGAGCAAGAACTACTCCGGGAGGGAAAAATAATGAAAAAATGCCTGGGATGACAGATCAGCATCTAAAACACAAGGTCAGGGAACCATACAATTATTTAGGTTGGAAGGACCTCTGGAGGACATCCGTTTCAACTCCCAGCAATAGGAGGGAAGTGGAAGGCAGGGGGTACCTCCCAAGCTCAAAGCAGGCACAGCTGAAGTTGTTCAGGGCATTTGTAATACAAAATACATGTTTTGTTCCAGGGATACATCTAGTGGTGGGAGGCACACAGCCAGTACACAGTGGAAGGAATAAAAACAGTAATAAAAGCAATTTGAAGATAAAGTTTGGCTTGTCCTGGGACTTCTGAAACATCTTTTCAAGCTGACTCACAGAATTCTGAGTATCAGAGGGTTTCTAGAAAGTATAAAATACATTTTAATATTAATAGTCATGATGAATAGTCATAACAATACTTTTATATATTATCCAAGTAGGTAACCATTTCCAGAAGCACAGGATATATCCATTCTGGAAGTCCAAGGAATTGAAATCCTAATGTATTTGTAGATTTTTGCAGATACTGTCTGATCCATACAGAATAAGTGTTCTGTGTGCCTTTGCCATCTCTCTGACCTTTCACTTGTTTAGTCTTACTTGATCAGGAGACATTTGTTTAATGTTCACATCTGCAAATGACATGAAGTACAGGGAAGTAGTGAATGACACTTTTTACCTCTGACAGACTTAACAAGAATAATAATTCAAGAATTATTACAGCAGGATGTAGAGGGTCACCTATACAGGTTGAAAAGACTTTGCTAAGCTTATATTCTCATTTAACTTTCCCTTCTTGAATACCATTGCTTCACATAGCTCCTGTTGTTCTAAACACAAGCTTTCAAGTGGTTCTGTTTTGTATTGTTGGACACCATCATACCCTAGAACTTTCAGATTTGTTTGTCTGGGTTTTTTTATACACATTAAAAAGAAGCCATAAAGCAAGATAAGGGTGAATGACTCATTTCACTAAGACAGCACATACATGTGCTATTCCTTATCACCATGTGATGGAATAAAAAACTCCTGAAGCTTACAAAGCAAAAATGCGGAAACAGAAACTTAGCTAACGACAACTCTCTCTGTCAAACATGAAAAATATCCCAAATCCCCTCTAGAATCCAGAGCTATTACATTTGACTAGAATCCTCAAAACCAAAACAAAACTAATGTTAGCTGAAAAAGATTGAATACCCAAAGGACAAAATGCAACAGCCCACACTGGGCCCACAACTATCTATATGTAACAATAAAGCAAAGCCTTCAGAAACCCAAAGTCAGGAACTCTTCTGCTGCGTGTAACATGACCAGCAGCCCTCATTGTTAAACTGGTTGATGAGATTCATTAAGAGATCAGCTTTGCAGTTATTTATAATTCAGTCAAAATATTTGAGCTAAAATTTCCCCTGCTGGAGGTGGAATATTTATGAAATGTTCCAGGTAAAAATAGTTCCACTGTTTTCAGGAGTGAAGCTACAAGAAAAAAATCATGTTTTCTAATGTGCTTTTTGAGAAGTTGTGTGCTGTGGAGGCTACTGTAACTTCAGCAGAGGAGAGGCCTCTTCTGAAGGAGTGGCATCTGCCAGCTGACATTTCATTCATACTTGGCAAGCTTGCCAAGAGCAGACAGAGCCAGACTCTGCTCGTTGTGGCCCTGAGAAAGCACAACAGCCATGACTTGCAACAATCCTGGTGAGCATTAAAAAAAGCCTCTCCCCAGGGCACGTTTCAGCACTGGTGTGGGTACCTCAGGAGGCTGGGGAATCGCCATCCTGGGAGGTGCTCAGAAGACACCCGGACAAGGCTCTGAGAAACCTGAACTGCCTTGGGGTCCCATGTACATCCTCTCTGCTCCTGCCTTTGGCTGTATGAGCCTGGGGACGGGTCAGAGGCAGTGGAGCTGAGGGCAGCCTCTTGCCTCTGATGACTTTGGGGAGAGTTTCTAGAAAGCTCTGCTGGAGCCTCAGCCAGGACTGACCCCCTGCCCCAGGAGATGCTTTTAGCCTGGTGAACTTGCCCTTGGCTCCTGTCTGAGGAGTCTGGCCTGTGCCTGACCATGCAATCCGTGGATCTAGACCCGTGACAAGGCTTCCTGGCTTGACCCAAGACCTGCCTTGTCATGATAGACGCGTCAGGCAATCTCTGGACTGTGGCTCACTTTGGTTCCTGCCTCCAGACCTGATCCTGATGCTGACTTGACTTCTTACTTTGCCCTTGGACCTGCCTCATCACCACAAGCTTGTGTGATGATCTGGATTCTCAGCTCAACCCGGCTGTCTGCTTGTACCTGCCTTTGTTCCCTTGCTCAGATGCTTTCCCTTGCTGGCTAAGCCTCTTCCTCTGCCTGCCTTGTTACGTGCCTGGATCTCAGCTCTTATATTCCTTTAGGGTGCTGCAAGCCCTCACTGCCCCCAGCAACCTGCTGTGAGCAGGCAGTCTCAGTAGAGACCTCCAGAGGCCCCTTCCCACCCAAATCTTTCAGTGAACTTATAACAGCACTCTAGCCAAGTTAAAAGGAAAGAAAAAAATAACTAACTTCTCTGAGCAGGGAAGAAAATGTAACTGCAAAGGCATTGCTTTGATGCTTAGGTGCATGGTGCATTAGACTAGGGAAAGGAGAAAGGGCCAGAGGGACAGAGACAAAGAAAGGGGTCTAGAAAGGATTAAGGTGATAGAAGGTTTCAAAATGGACAGCAGTGCATCTGCTGTAATATCACTCCATTATCCCATAAATCCAGGACAAAAGGGTAGCGGAAGAGATGCACACAGCTGTTTCCTCCCCAGCTGCACAATGTCGCAAAGGATTCATAGCAGCTCTGAGTTTTTAAAATAGGAAACTCTATTGCCCTACAAGCCTTCTTCCACCTCTCTCCCTGCATCTCTTGGGCACCATTAAATGTTCTTCAGCTGCAAATGGATTTCAAGGCTGCTCTGCTGGTGATGCAAAGGCTGAGCAAGGGGACAGAGCTGGTTCACACAGGGCGTATGTCTAACAGGCAGGCGGTGACACAAGGATGTCTCTGTGGAGCAGCTCATCATCTTCTACAGGTCTTCTTGAAGACCAACTTCTGCAATCATCTCTCATAAAAGAGAGGGTCTTCAAGGGAGACTGCAAAAATGGGTTTAAAACGTGGTATCTCCTAGCACCAACCCGTGATGTATTACAGTACATTTATTCCCACAGCAGTCATGAAGTAGGAACTTGAAACCAGATTTACTGCTTATTGAGAAGTCTAAAAACTATAAACCCTAATACTCTGGACTACATTTCTTGTCACTTTCCCTGACCTTTCCTTTAACATTAAGAAAAACAAAATCAAACCACTGTAATGGATCCACTCCAGAATAGCCTGAGACCTGCTGGAAGCCAGAGAGGCCGTTTTGCAGTGCAATTAGAAAGGCAACCCTTGGCCATCAGCAGGAGTGAAAAACTGGGACTTCTGGCACTGCTTGTGTACAGGTGGATCTCGCTTCTGGGGAGATTTATAGGGCTTTCACATACAGTGCAGCCTGAAAAAGCATGTACAAACAGTGCAAGCAAATACATTTCACTGCAACCTCATTCGGTGACATCATTCCTTTTCAACAGTGAAAATCACTCAGACCCGAAATCAATCATCCTATATAGGGGCCAGCAACAAGAGAGTGCAAAGCATTAACATCAGCATGAGCTTCTGACACAATGACAATATTGGTATTCTCCCTTTTTTTTTTCAGGAGCCATTGGGAATGAAGTTTTTAAAAGTATGTTAGTGTTTCCCAAGCCATTTTGCTTTTGGTAAATGTACAGCCATTGTAGCATGTGTGTGTGTTTACAGCTGCACATTTGAAATACCTCCTGAAGATTGTTTTGCTAAGGTCTGTGATTTTCTATACAATTAGGAACCTATTTTCAGCAGGATTACTGAAAACTCAGCTATTCTCCTTGACCTCAACAAAGCTTGCTAAATGCTTCAGTTCTTTTTCAAAATTAAGATACTAATTTACGTGTCCTGTGCTGGACCTATGACTCAAATTGAAACATCTGGTCAAAGGTTTTCCTCAGCCACTGCTAGTAAATTCACTTTGTCAGCACTGAGTACTGTATCTGTGTTCTGTTGATCCCCAGAACTGCCCCAGGCTACAGTGCAGCCAGGAGCTACTCAGTTAGGGTGGACTTGCTATAGGAATTCACACTGGCCACACCTAGACACACTAAATTTCTTTCAAATCCTTGTTCCCCACTATGTTTCCTGTATCAAAAGAGTCAGGTATGACCATGTCACGAAGGCACCTCTGTTTATTCAAAACAACCTTTCATCCTTCAGCTTTGCATCATCACATTCACCCACGGACAGTCTGCTGTGCTCCCTCAGTTTGCTGTAGTTACTGCATGTGTGACTCTGCAATGGTATGGCTTTCCCAGGCTTAAATTTCCGAGTCCTCAATAGGGCCATTCAGGAATACTGCAGTAGGAAGTGATGGTGAGAATTCATTGGGACGGATAAAGTTTTCAGATGGGAACAGTTTCACTTTAGACACGGCGTGGCCTCGGGTTGACTTACTGTCCACAATCTGATGCTTGAGCGTTCCTATCTCCGAGTCCCAGGCTTGTCCCCGCCGCAATTTCTTGAAGGTGTTACGGAAACCCTCAGTGCTAAAGTAGTAGATCAAGGGGTCCAGCATGCAGTTCATGCTGGCCAACATCATCGTTATAATCAACGCTTGGCGCACAGAGGCCTGGGTTTGTTCCTCAACCTTCATCACCCGGGCCTTTATCATCCCATAAACCGCCAGGGTAGTGTTGTAGGGCACAAAGCAGATGATGAAGATGACCAAATTGACCAAGAGGAGACGGATGGTCTTCTGCTGTCGCAGGGTCTTCGTCTGGCTGGGCTGGCAGAGCTCCTGAAAGATCCGAATTGAGCAGTATGTCACAGAGCTGAGAGGCAAGAGAAACCCCAAGATTTCAGCCAGGATTACCAGGGGGAAGAGGTTATTCTGCCATATGTTGTCGCTAAAGCTTTCAAAGCACAGATAAATGGTCTGGTTTTCTACTTTACAGTGGTTTTGCTTGTGGACTATGGCAGTGGGGATGGAGCCCATGAAGATCACAACCCAGACGATGAAGCAGAGGTACTTGGCCACCTTGGGGCGCCGCAGATGCCGCCAGCGAAGTGGGTGAACAATGGCAATGTAGCGATCCAGGTTGACGCACATGAGGAAGAGGCAGCTACCATACATGTTGATCTGAAAGACTGAGCCAGAGACCTGGCACAGGAAGCTACCAAAGGGCCAGTGGTGGTTGGAATAGTAGTAGAGTCGCAGGGGCAGAGAAAGTGTGAAGCTGAGGTCACTTATGGCCAGGTTCAACATGTAGATCATCACTACAGACTTCAGACGCAGGTATCGGAGAAATATCCACAGGGCTACCACATTGAGTAACAAACCCGTGATGAATATCACGGTGTAGCCAGGCATGAGGAGGTGGTGGTTGAAGGTGTAATCCTTGCATGTCTGGGACGTATTGGAAGTATTGGATGCTGACATGCCCAGCACGGATCAGGGAATGCTTTTGCTGAGATGGCTGAGCCTGTTGATGGGCTAGGGAGGCACAAAGAAGAGCACTGAGGGAAGTCGTTCCCTTCTGAGGAGCCACAGGCAGGTCATTCCTGTCATCTGCAGCTGGGAGGTAGATGGGTAATGTCTCTCTTGGATGGCACTGCTTTGGATTGCTGATTTGCGGTCATCTGGCACGGATGGTAATGTGGAGTCTGCTTCTGCCCCTAGTACAGCAATTCTTTCCACTGGTTATGAGGTGACAAGGTGATGGAAGATCATTGCCAGCTGTCAGTACAATTCCTGGTCAGAGTGGAAGACCAAAATAAAAGAGTTCAATTTACAGGAGGAAATCTCTCAAAATGTTAAAATCTCACCATGGTGGCTTCTGCAGCAAGAACTCACAAAGAAACCAAAAGATGAGGGAAAATGGACACGAGAAAAGTGAGTAATTACATGGCAGAAGAAGACAGAGCAGAGAGAAGGTGGTTGTTGTACAGAATCATTTATTACTCAGCCCCAGAGAACACACTTTGCTTTGATCACTGCTGAGAGCACATGAATACAAGAAAGGGACACCACAAGCACACAGGGAAAGTAGTTGAGGCAGCTCCAGAGAAAGAGAAAGAAAAAGAAGAGACCAGTGTTTTGAAGGAAAAATGCTGACTGGAAGGAACTTAAAATAAAAATGGCACAGTACTGTTTTATATCAGAGAAAAAGGACTTTGTACATCCATTTCAGATAAAAAAATTACAGTACAGTTAGACCCGACTCCACCCAAGCTCCTTTACTTTACATAAAACAACAGTCACAGACCTCAGTTCCAGTGACTTTGAGTTCCTTATGTTTCTTACGTTCATACAGTTCCTTTGGTGTCCTTACTTGCATGGGACCAGTGGTGCTTATTTGGATTGTATGTCCTCATTCTGCTGCTTGAAGCAGTCCATGTCCCGGAAACACAGAGCAGTGCAGCCATGGAGGGGAGCACAATTAAAAAGGAAGTGCCATGGGATTCATGTGGACAAACATGAGTTTGAAGCAGTGTGAGGCTAGTAACCACTCTAGGTACTAACTAGCAGCACTGTCCAAACACTGATCAGCTGGAGTGAGCCCAGTGGAAGGCCACCAAAATAGTCTGGGGGCTGGAGCACTTGCACCATGAGGAGTTGCTGAGGGAACTGGTCTCGTTCAGCTGGACAAGAGAAGGCTCCAGGTGATATAATAGTGTCACTGGGGTTTGCATGGCTAGGTTTTGGCATCTGGGAGGGCTATAGGTGTGGTTCTGTGAGAGTGTGCCTGTAATTTCTTCTGTGTCTGATACAGCCAATGCCAGGAGGCACCTGCCACTGAGCAAGGCTGAGCCCATCAGTGATGGTGGTAGCACCTCTGGGATAATGAAAGGGAAAAAGTTACTGTGAGACAGCAATTTAAAAAAGTTAATTGTGAGGCAGAGGAGGGAAGTGAGAATATGTGACAGAAACATCTCTGCTGCAGGCACCAAGGTCAGTGAAGAAGGAGGGGAATGAGGTGCTCCAGGCACTGGAGCAAAGATTCCTCCATTGCCCCTGGAGAAGACCATGGTGAACCCATGTTGGAGCACTCTGTTCCTGGAGGACTGCACTCTGTGGAAGGGACTCACACTGGAGCAGGGGTTGGGTTACACAGTTCCCCACAGATCTTTGCAGGGGTCAAACAGGGATTCCCTCATAAGAGTCCATGTAGATTGTGATTTACTTCAGAAGGAAAGTAGAATTTTCTATCTAGAGAATATCTTTATGAGGTTGATATTACTCAGCAACTTGACAGGCATGTCAAGCATGTCAAGTCTTCTGGATGGCATTGTGTGGCAATGCGCAGATCCAGAGAGAATCTGCTGCAGACAGAAGTGTGTGCTGACCTCATAGAGAGGAAGAGAATCATTCTGGTAACAATATGTTAAACAATGGGAGTGGAAACCTAATACAAGAGTGTAGCCAGCTACCAACTTGCCCATCCTTTTGTGTTGTTGTGCAGGTCCATCAGCCAAAATAGATTTTTAGGGAAACTTCTACTGGTTTATCAAACCATATCTGAGTGGATTCTACCCTTCCTGGTGGCTGAATACTTTGCATGAATTCTTGTGCAAATTTGGAGTATAAGCTGACAAGGCAAAAGTGCAAGAATGTTGGTGGTTTCAAGTGGAATGTTTCATGCTTCAAAAAATCTCAAGGAGGAGCATCACCAATGGTCAAAGGAGGTGATTGTCCTGCTCTGCTTTGCAGTGGTGCAGCCTCACCTTGAATCCTGTGTGCAGTTTTGGGCAATATAAAAAAGACATTGAGCTCTTAGAGAATGAGCAAAGGAGGGCCATGAGGATGGTGAAGGACCTTGAGGAGAAACCATATGAGGAGCAGCTGAGGTCACTTGGTCTGTTCTGCTTGGAGGAGACTGAGGGAGACCTCATTGTGGTCTACAACTTCCTCGAGAAGGGAAGAGGAGGGGCAGGCATTGATCTCTTCTTTGTGGTGGCCCATGACAGGATCCAAGGGGTTGTGTCAGGGGAGATTTGGGTTTGATATTAGAAGAAGGATCTTCACCCAGAGGGTGGCTGGGCACTGAAACAGACTCCCCAGGGCAGTGGTCACAGCACCAAGCCTGACAGAGTCCAAGAAGTGTTTGGACAATGCTCTCAGGCACAGGGTGTGATTCTTGGGATGTGCTGTGCAGGGTCAGGAGTTGGACTTGATGATCCTTGATGATCTTGATGGGTTCCTTCCAACTCAGTGTATTCTGTGATTCTATAATTGCAGGAGAATATGTCAGCTTTTGCTAGAGCCAAAACCCTGAAATGAATTGCAGACTGGTCAGACATTTATCTTGATGGAAACAAAGTTATTGAGGCTGTGACTTAGTGAGTGACCATGACCTGCGGTAACACATGTACTCAGACCAGACAGATGTCAGGTGAAAAGGACTTATCTCTAAAGACAATGTGATTTCTCAAGCTTTCCTGAGGTATTCAATTAACACATCTAGAGATTATAATATGTAAGCACAGTCCATGTTGTGTCAGCCTTTCTACCACTAATATGCCATCTCAAATTGTGAATGGTGAAGGGATTATGTTAAGAAGAGTACAATAACGTAGTTACACTGCTTCAAGTTGTCTTCCTGCTTCCTGCACAAGTAGCCCAGGAATTTATTGAGCCATAGGTGACCTAGTTGTTCTCAGTAGTCCTCAGGGAACTTCTATTTCATTGTGGTTTTCTCAGTCATTTTTTGAGTTGATGTAAAATTTACCATCTACATTATCCAGTGCCAGGAGTGCCAAGGAGTTCCACAGCTTACTTGTGCCTCAGGTGAAGAATCACTTCCATATACCCATCTCTGATGCATCATCTGCTAGATTCAATTCTTAGCTCTAGTGCTGGGACAGGGCAAAAACCATCCCTATCCACCTCCATTTTGTGCCTGATAATATTATAAACATCTAACATATTCCCACTCAGCAACTTTTAATTTTTTATTTATTTTTTTTAAATTTTAGGCTAAAGGGTCCTTGTCTTCATAGATTTTCCTTGTAGACAAGCTGTTCTATACTTTTGAACATCCTTGTTGCCCTTTTCAGCACTTTTCCACTTCTGCTACAGCTTTTGTGAGCCCTGTGCTGGGGTGCTGAAAGCACTCAGTGCTGATAATATGGATGCACTGAGCTGCGTAGGTGTAGATCTCATTTGCAAGTGGTAATGGCCAGTTCAGTTTGCTTTTTCCCATCACTTCACTAGATAAAATTTCAGCTGTTGGTTTAAGTTCAGTCACTCACACTTCTCTTAAGCTATGCAGCTCTTCGCAGCCAAACCTCATCTTTTTAAACCTGAATAATTTTATGTCTCCAACAGATTTGTTATTTTATTATTCATCCCTCATGAATAAGTCAAACAATCCAAGCTCCAGCACAGGTGTCTGACAACTCCACTGAGAAAAACAACCATTTACCTTCATTCTCTGTCCCTTCTTTTACACACTTTTTATCCAGTTAAGAACATTTTCTTTAAAATTTTTTAAGTGCCATTGGTGAGACCGCTTTTGAAAGCCTTCTGAAAATCCACATGGGCCACTGTTCACATGTTTACTGAGCCCTTTAAGGAAGAACTGTGGGAACAGCATCTCTTTATAAAAGCCATGATGACTTTTCCCCAGCAATTAGATGTGACCACATGCCAATTGATTTTTTCTTTATTATAGCTTCTACAAATTTGTTCAGCAAAACCATCAAGCTCTCTGGTCTGAAACCCCCCAAGAGCCTTTTCTTAAATTGAGTCTGCCTTTAAGAGCTATTTTAAGCAAAGGTTTCTGTTGGAACAATTAGTCAGGTCTTCCACCCTTCAGTTAGTTTCGTACCTCTGGGGTAAGAGCTGTATGGTTTTAGTTCATCTTGCTGCTCCATGGTTGATCCTACTACTGTTTTGACCAGAGACAGTCCTTTTATGAACTTATCATAAAGAAAATTTCTGCTGTGGAAATCTCCCAGGTTTTCATGACATGAATACCAATGAAAGAAACCTCTTCATTTTTTTGCCCACCATCCGGTTTTCCTTCTTTTCTGAGCAGTCTTTCCTAACACACTCTATCCTTTCAGCCTTCAAGACACTGAACAGCACAGTTCTGAACTAGCAGCAAAGATCCCCGAGAGCAGAAAATAGATTGGGGCTTTGAGGGGATTTTTTTTGTGGGTAGATGGAAACATAGAAGAAAGAGTCTGCTATGGTGATGGTATGGAAGCTAAGCTGATAGTCTCAGACTTCCCATAACAGATACAGTGACCAAGACACAAGAGAAAAGAGAAACGAGATGTATGCAGACACAGTCATTGCAAAGATAAAGTTGTGGGTGTGGAGAGTTTCTCCAGTGAGCTTTGGAGGTCCTGCTTTGACTGTCACTCTCTCTAAAAAGGAAAGCTACCAGTAGGCAGCAGGGAGACCAATTATCCTTGCTGGTTAATGTCTGAGAGTCAAAAGGCATGTTCCCTGTGGCTGCCACTAAAAGAGCCCCAAGAACTCGTTGCTCTGCACAAAAGCTGCCAAGACATCTCAAGCCACCAACTGTGTAAGGAGGAAGTGGTACCACAACAAGATGCTTTCTTTAAATCCTGAAGAAACTTTCTCTGTGGTGACTGACTTATGTATCCCAGGGGGGTGGAGGAAGCATTTTATTTCCTCTTCAATTTGAGCCTCTGAATGCCATCAACTGCCAAGATTGTGACTTGCAAAATCCACGGGATTTTGAGTTTTTTCTTCTGGGGGGTGAGAAACCCTAAATGTACTTGTATACAGGCAGGCATGCCCTGAGAGGGGATGTGTACCTGGCATCTTGCTGTCTGGTCCTGGGAATCCTCTCTCTTCTGTCTCACTGTCTTACTAGGAGTCATGGCCTCCAAACACTACAAAAATGATGAAGAATCAGGGTATGGGGCTGAGATATGCGATGGAAAAAGAGAGCTGGAAAAATACTCATGAGGATTCTGCAGGGTCAGTGTTTCTTTTAGTGGCTAGTCACTGAAACCATGGAAGGTTCTGGGGCTCCTGTGAGAATGCAGAGAGCAAATGCATTGGGGTGCAGATATTAAAACACAAACTGCATGAGCTCGCTTATTATTCTGAAAGCAAAGAGGAAACAACAAAAATGTGTCAACCTCAGAAAACATACCCAACTTTACTCTAGAAACTGAGATATATTTTTAAAATAAATGTGGGTGCTTTTTACCTGCTATTGGTGATATTCAAGCCCCACTTGTCAACTTTTATTCTACTAAAAAAATAGATTTTTGTGGTGATTAGGACCTTGAAGACAGTCAAGTCTTAGTACGGCTTATTTTTAAAGAGAGACACATGATACAAAACTGAGACCTCTGTATTTAACTCACAAGATTTGATCACACTGCTATTGCCTCCTCCTTAGAGATGCTACCCCTTTTCATCTCCTGAGGGTCCCGTGGAAGAGGAGTCCCATAGCGGGCACCTTGGCAAGTAAGCTCTGCAGCTTGCCCCTGCTTTTAGTATCACAAGATCCCAAAGAAAGCCCCAGTTTGAATAAATACAGAGATGTGCCTTGCAGCTCCAGGTCCACGGGGAAATGACGAGGGGCAGAAGTGCCCCAGTGCCCGTGGCCAGGCCTGGCAGCACACACACAGCAGCTCACGGGGACCAGTGCCCAAGGTGCCAGACCATCCGGCTCTCCAGATGTTCCCGCCTGCCTTACCTCACTGCTGGAGAAGAGCCAAGTGTGGATGCCAGCTGCCTTGCTGCTTGGTGACTGCTTCCACTGCAGAGGTCTCGATCCGGGCCCCAGACCCACCAAGCAGCTTGGATCAAAACAGAACCGGGCAGCCTCTTCATCCAAATCACAGCTGTCCCCTACCACGCTGCGGCTGATTCTACATCTGGCATGCTGCAGTTTGTCTCTTCTCCTTTCTCACTTCCTGATGCACTTCTGCCTGGCTACAAAGCATGAACTTTGTTATCAAGGGCTGATAAGCTAAACCACATCCTACAGCAGCAAATGCAATCATGAACGAAGCAGGACCCAGGTGTCCTTGCAACTGAGGAGACCTGCCCTGGGTCATAGTGCCAAATATTTGCTTGTCTTGCTAACTTAGCCACCCCCAGGACTGACAGAGAGGAAATAAAATATCCCTCTCCCCAAAATATTGCTAAACAGGAGGTAGAAGTGAAATATGGGAAGTGAGAGCCAAGTTATTTTAATTGCTACTCTGCACAAAGACTTGGAATCCTGTCACTGTCATGGGCTAGGGGGCTCTGGGATTGAGCTCCAGCCCAGGGGCCCAGCTGTGCACCACTGGCATGTGGCAGGATCCCAAAATGAACCAGGCTCCGGAGAGGTGTCATTGTCTGTGGCAAGCAAAGGCATGTTTGCCACGAAACCCAGTCCCTGGTGTTCAAGGCTACAGGGGGCACAGTGCGATGCAAGTACAGGGCTGATTTACCAGCACATCTGTGACCTGGCACTGCCACGTGTAGCTGGGAAGGGAGCTGACCTTGTGCAGAGCCCATCTGGCACTCTGTTCCTTCAAATACTATTTCTGCTTTACCAGTCTCAGCACACCTGGAAGAAGACACGAGTCATGGTGACACTCCTAATCCCACTGTCGTCCTGCCCCAAGAACAGCTGCCCTGGGAAGTTGCCGTGGGCTCCCTTTCTCTGCAGTCCTTGCCTGCTGTTGTTTGATTTTCTCACTCCCTGCCTCCCTTGTTCTGCTGTTACCGACTCCTCATTCAGGGAATGACACACCAAGGGATATCTATGTTCCTGCTGCTCATAAATTCTTGGAGGGCACAATAGCACTGAGCTCACCCTGCTTCTTTTCAGCGCCTCTCTTTTTTTAACCCAGACCCCTTTTCTCACTTGCTGGTTGCTGGGATCTTTGTTCTCATGGCTTTTTGTGTCTTTTCAGTTCAAGGTGTTGCTACTGATAAAAGCCTGCAGATATGCCACGGGGGGTGTCCTTTGCCTAAGGAGTGTCTGACACATTCTGTGGGAACACCCCCCTCCCCTGCAGCCCTCACCCCTCACACACATGAGCACACATCTGGCTGAGCCCGGCACTCCTGGCTTTTCCACGTGTGAGAAGACAAGGACACAGTGGCACCCTGCTCAGCCCAAAAGCCCCACGGAACCCTCACCTGGCCAAGTTCACTCACCTTCCCAGATCTCGGTGCCTCAGCCCACAACGTCTGTGTCCCCTCACCCGGGTGGGCTCACACATCTGCCCCTCGCTGTCTCTTGGAGGCTCAGCTCGTGGGGAAGAGCAGCTCAACCCCCGGCGTTTCCTCACCGCTGTCTGAGCGAGCAGCAGGTAAAACCAGATTACTGGGGTGTGTGTTGGAGGCTACACCCTGATGCTGCAAATCCCAACATGCCTGCCACCCCGCAGTGCTGGCTCCAGAAAGTAGGAGCAAGGACCCAGCAGGAAGAAGGATGCAGGGAGCTGGGAAGGCAAGGAAAGAGGTGAAATGCACGCTACAAGAGAGAGGCTGCTCAGGTCTGAAAGGATGTCTGATAAACCACAGTGCTCTTCAGACTTCTTTGTGCAGCAAAATGTGGGAGAGCAGGGCAAAGGGGTGAATCCCTTCACGGAAGAAGCACAGCAGGGACAGAACAGCTCTGCTTCACTTAATGAATGATTCAGACAGGAAGAGCAGAAACCTGTGGCTGCAGAGGAGTTTTACCTTCCAAGGTAGTGGGTACAGCTGGCACTTACCAGGTTAGCTGGGGGAATGGCAGTTTTTGTCCCAGGACATTTCAGCTCCCTGGTCACACAGCTCACATTTTCCTGGGCTTCCAGGGGCACTTAGGAAAGGGGTACCCAATTAGAAGGGGGGCAGCCACCCTGTTGTGCCTCCTAGGAGAAGGGCAAGGGCTGGTCTTGGGGAAGGACAGCCATGGGGAAGAAAATGAGGGAGGTGAAGGGAGACCTGCCAGGGAAAGAGTTAAGAGAGGCAGGGAGCAGCCGGGCTGTGTCTGTTTGCTGTAACTGTGTGGGCTGCAGGGTAGAAAAGAACAATCTCCAGCCTGGAGGAGGCAGATGAGGGAGTGTCTTCAAGAACTGTGGATGTGGATGAGAGAGGCAGCAGGTCTTCCCCTCTCTGCTCCCATGAGCTGTCACTGCAGGGAAACTTTCTGTCTCCCCAAAAGGTTTGGTAACGAAGAGGTGACAAGCTGGTGGGTCTGGCAACAGCTGCTTGGTGCTTCTGTTCTTCTTGTGCAGAAGGCTCTGTCTGCTGCTGAGCAGGTCTTGGGCTGCCTCCTGCTGAAGAAGTGACTGGACTGTGGAGGAAGACAACCACATCATCTCCTGACAGGATGGCACAGGCCACGGGTGTGACACAGATGCTGTCCCCATCCATGTGAGCTCCCTGTGATGGATGCCCACCCCAGAGCCCTAGCTTAGAGCTCTCCCACCATGTGCCCAAGCTGGAGCACTGGTGTGGACAGCCTCGCAGGGCCAACCCAGTGGGGTTCTGCAGGCTATAGGGTCTCAGATGCTGGCAGGCACACCTGGACAGCCCAAGGTCACTGCCCAGGGCTGGAGGTCACTGCCCACTGCTTTGCAGTGCTGGGCTGGAGCTGCTGTGAAAGCCACTATTGGGCAGAGGCTGTGGAAAGCCACAGGAAACTCTATGGCTTTCAGGCAGCAGCATTGCTGGAGTTGAAGGTGGTGAAGTTTTGGCATGGACAGGATGGAGCTGGTGTGGCTGTACATGATGCTGATCCACGTGCAGCACGTCACTGCCATGACCTGGCTGTAAGTATGCTTTGTGCTTGTATTGTCTGGGTTGGAAAGCCACCCAGGGAGGTGCTATCTCCAAAGAAAATAGGGTAAGAACAGGGTAGAAGAAGCAATCTGGGCAACCAAAAAGCAGAAGGGACATCTCTGGGAGCATGGAGGGAGAGGGATAGTAAGGTTGAAGAGGTACAAACTAGAATGGGTAGCAAGAATGTCCAATTCACAGACAACATGCCCACAGCCCCCTTCCCTGCCCATTTCTGCTGCAAGATATGGCTAGAGAGGGTTAGTCCTGCAGAGGTAAGGCCCTAGCTCCAGCCCATCTGCAACTGAACCTCCCCCCCATCCCCACAGGTCCCTGGCCAAGCAGACTTCCCTGCAGGCAGTCCTGTGGGACCCCAGGGGCTGTGATGGCCTGATGGGGCTGGAGGAAGAGCAGATCCCTGTTTGCCGGCAGCAGGTGGAAGCCATGGAGGCGAGGGACAGAGCTGGCTGTCCTCGAGTGCCAGTGCCAGTTTCACTCTTGCCACTGGAACTGCTCCACCCTGCAGGGGCTGCAGTTCTTCGCCAAGGCCACCATCCAAGGTCAGCAAGAGCAGGCTTGGCATGGTGTCCCTCCATTATGCCCTCTGTCCGCTTGACACATGAGCCTTTCCTGGGCTAGTGTGCAAGGGCTGCACTGGTCCCATCCCCAGAGCAGCCAGCGCCTTCTTCCACACACTGACAGAACTTCAGAGCAAGCTGAACCCAATGCTCTCATACACATTAACATTCTGGAGAAACTTCTTCCCATGTGGCCAGATTTGGCTTTTTGGTCCTATTGGACCATCCTGGGTACCGGCTCTGCAGGCTGTTACATTTCTCCCTGACCCTGCCACCCCCCTGCCACAGAGCCATGACACTTACTGACTCCCAGCCTTCAGAGCAGCTGCACTGGCTGGACATCCTGACATGTATTTCTCCCGAGCAGTCTCCATCTGAAGGCATCCTTCCTGCATGCAATGACAGCCTCTTTTCCCACACTGTGCCCCCTAAGTGCCTTTGCCCTCTGCAGACCGGTGCCATTTCTTGTCCTGCTGCAGGCACACAGAGTCTGCTGTCACCCACGCCATCTCCGGCGCCGGCACCGCTCTTGCTGTGGGCCGTGCCTGCAGCCGGGGGAAGCTGCACAAGCGCGGCCGCCACCACAAGGGCCAGGCAGCCACCCCTCAAGGTGAAGGAAGAAGCGGTGGCAGGGAGCAGGTGGCTGAGAGGAAGGCCCATAGGGGAGACAGACCAGAAAGGGAGATGCTATTTCATTCTCCACGGGTCTTTGGGAGATCCTCTCAGGGCTTCCCTGTCCTTGTCACAAGGCTGCTTTCCCTCTGCAGGTTTCCAGTGGTCAGGCTGCTCTGGTAACCTGTCCTACAGGATTGCCATTTTCTCAGGCCTTCGAGGACAGCCCTGAGAGGAGCCGCGGTGTCTCCCCCAGCCAAGAGCCCATGAATCTGCACAACAGTGAGCCTGGGAGGAAGGGAAGGGCAGGAGCAAGGGCTGGGAGCCAGCCTGGCTGCAGGGGCTTCTCACTGGCTCAGCAGAGCTCAGTCCAGCCCCCACACCCCAAAAGGCACTTCAGGGCAGCCAGGTGCTCCCAAAGGAGTCTGCATCCTGCTGCCTTTCCTAGCCCAGCACTGCATCGATTACCCTGAGCCGGCTCCTGCCTGTGTGGAGAGGAGCTCCAGCCTCCCCTACTCACTTCTGTGCAGTCTCCTTTTCCAGCTATGAATCAGGAAATAATTTACTCTGTTCTGTTCTGAAGGGCTTCCCTGCCCCTCCAGCCTCTCTTCAATAAAGCCAGACATCTGCAGGGGCTGCAGTCGGATCTGGTCCCTTGAACATCCTCCGCCTCTGGCCAGGTCTGTTCCTCTCCCCACAGCCCCGCAGGTCAGAACAGCTCCCCGTCCCTCTCTCTGCCTCAGGGGTTTATCTCACAGACCCAAACCATCTTCTTTTTCACAGAGTAGATCTCCTTCTCTTCATATTGGCCTGGCTTAAAAAGACACTTCTGCCCCTTCCCCTTCTCCTCCGCTGTCCCCGATCTCCAGCCCCATGGAAGGATTGTTGGGAGAACAGCAGCACATGGGAAGTGCTGGGAAGGGTGTCCCTGGTCAGGCTGGCAGCTGCCTTCTGCTCTGCAGGCTCTCCTGGCCCACATGGAGGAAGAGTGCAAGTGCCACGGCGTGTGGGGCTCCTGCGAGGCGCACACCTGGAAGGTCATGCCTCCCTTCCGCCACATGGGCACCATCCTCAAGGAAAAGTCTGAGGAGACTGCAGAGGTTTACCCGAAGCGGGTCGGTTCCTGCCGGCTCCTGCTGCCCAGGAGCTCTCGCTCCAAGCCCTACATAGCTCACAGCCTGGTCTACCTGCGGGCCAGCCCGGACTTCTGCGACCGGGACCCTCGGCACAGCATCTTCGGCACCTCGGGCCGCCAGTGCAAGCGGACCCCGCCACCATGGAGCTGCTGCGCCGGGCAGGGCCTTTGGCACGGCCCGGGCTGAGCTGGCGGAGCGCTGCAGCTGCAAGTTCCGCTGCATGGGTGCTGCTGAGGGACGGCAGAGCTGCAGGGCAGGTGCCCAGGGTGCCATCAGCTCCTGTGTGCTCCCCACGCAGCACCCTCCCGCCAGCCACGGTGGCTGTTGTGGTTTGAATTATTTTTCCAGGTGGAGGGTTGGAGGACAGAGGCCAAATAAAGCTTTAATCTTGACAAAAAAACCCAGTCACAGCAGAAAGAAAAGTGCACACCAAAGGTTCTTGCTCATGTGCTGCGTTTGAGACCTGGAGGGTCCCTGTCTCTGGTCTCTTTCCCACTCTCTGGGCATGCAAGAAATGCATTTTCCAGTGCTCAGCTGCTCCTTTGGCTGGAGAAATGTTCCAAGAGGAGTTCCAGAAGCTGCCACAGTGAGGCTCCCCTCATTCAGTCTGATCTCAGTGCCAGGGAATGTTATGGAACAAGTTATCCTAAGTACAATCAATCACACAGCACTACCAGGGAATCGGCCCTAGCCAGGATGGGTTCATAAAAGGCAGGTCCTGCTTGACCAGCCTGGTCTCTTTTATGACCAGGTGACCTGCCTAGGGATGAGGGAAAGGCTGTGCATGTTATCTTCTACCTGGACTTCAGTAAGCCTTTGGCACCATTTCCCACAGCATTCTCCTGGAGAAGCTGGCAGCCCACGGCCTGAGCAGGTGCATTCTTTGCTGGGTTAAAAACTGGCTGTGAGGCCGGGCCCAGAGAGTGCTGGTGGACAGAGTCACACCCAGCTGGTCACCAGTGGGGCTCCCCAGGGCTCTGTACTGGGGCCAGTCCTGTGTAAAACCTTTTCCCATGATCTGGATGAGGGAATCGAGGTGAGTTCCCGGATGACATCAGGGTGGGAGTGTTGGTGTGCTGGAGGGCAGGAAGGCTCTGCAGAGGGATATGGACAGGCTGCATTGATGGGCTCAGGCCACTTGTGTGAGGTTCAACAAAACCAAATGCCAGGTCCTGCTCTTGAGTCACAACAACCCCAGGCAGCACCACAGGCTGGGGGCAGAGTGGCTGGGGAGCTGCACAGAGGAAAAGGACCTGGGGGTGCTGGTGACAGCAGCTGAACATGAGCCAGCTGTGCTCAGGTGGCCAAGAAGGCCAATGGCACCTGCCTGGATCAGCAATAGTGTGGCCAGCAGGACCAGGGCAGGGATTGTCCTCTTGTATTCTGTACTGGTGAGGTCACACCTCAAGTGCTGGGTCCAGTTCTGGCTCTTCACTGCAAGAAAAACACTGAGGTGCTGGAGTGTGTCCAGAGAAGGACAACAAAGCCTGTGAAGGTTCTGGAGTGGCAAAAGGAGCTGGGGTTACTTAGCCTGGAGAAAAGGAGGCTCAGAGGAGCCCTGATTCCTCTCTACAACTCCCTGAAAGGAGGCTGCAGTCAGGTGGGAGTTGGTTTCTTCTCCCAGGCAACCAGTGACAGGACAAGAGGAAATGGCTCCAACCTGTGCCGAGGGAGGTTCAGGTGGATATTAGGAAAAGATTTTCTTCACTGAAAGGGTGGTCAGGCATTGGAACAGGCTCCCCAGGGAAGTGGTGGAATCATCACCCCTGGAAGTGTTCAAAAAACAAGTGGTTGTGGTGCTTTGTGATATGGTTTAGAGGCCATGGTGGTATTTGGTCAAAGGCCTTGACTATCTTGAAGGTCTTTACAAAACTTTAATCATTTTTTGATTGCTTTCTGACAAGGCCGCGGAACCTCTCTTGCCACAGCTGCACCTCCTTGTCTCCCTCCCTCACACTCAGCACCTGGTAGGTCTTGTTCTGCTGGCATTCCACACGAAACACCTGCAAGGAGAGCCTGGGTTCGTAGGGGTGGTATCACCGCCCATCCTCCCCCAAGGAAAGAGACCTCCATGGTAGATAGCACCTGGAGGCTGGGATGATGGGGGCACCAGGGGGGAAAAGGGGAGGAGCAGCTGAATTGACAGCTGAATTGTGTGTTTGCTAGGATACAGGCCAGTCCTCTGTCCTGCTCTGGTGATTTGGGGTTTTGTTGCTGCTTAGCGGATGGGGGAGATCCTGCCCTTCAGGGATATACAGGGATATCATCCCTCAATGGTCTGTGCAAATCCCACCCAGCAATGATGCCCCAGTTGTGCTGGGGCCACTGGTTGTCTCACCACCTCCCCCAAACACACCCAATTCTGTCCTCCTAGAAGGAAAAGCAGTGGGCCAGTGAGTCCAGCAGGGGCTTGGGGCTGGCTGTGGAGGGGCCAGCCATGGAAGAGCAGGCTGTGCAACAGGCAGCGTAGCTGCTTCTCACCCTCTCATTGTAGAGGCTCTTCAGGAGGCACTGGTAGCTCTTGAACATGCAGTAGTGGGGATGCTGAACTCCGCTTGAGTCACAGATCTGGTGACAGCGGAATGAAGGTCAGAGAAAGAAGAGGAGAAGGAGGGATGGGAACATCCACTGATGGTCACCCACCTTTCCTGAGCCCTCCACGTCTGGGAAGGTGTCATACTCTGCCTTCAGCCAGAAGCTCACAGCAGGGTCCTTACAGCCATAGATGGCCATCCGGCTGCACCAGTACTCCATCCTCATCCCTTTCAAAAAGTCCACGTTATAGTCCACCGGGGTCTGTGAGGACCTGGACTGCAAAGGGGTGGGATAAAGTGAGCCGTGCTTCTTCCTCCCCTTCCCCAGCTCCCAGTCCAGGCTCCTCCTGAGAGAGCAGCAGGACGCAGAGCTCGCTCGGTACCTTGCCCTCTGCATGCCTGTGCTGGGCTGAGATCTCGGGGTTGATGTAGGTGGAGAAGCTGCCCGAGTCGCAGGGAACGCGGTTCAGGGTCTTGATGTTCTGGCACTGCTCCCTCTTCAGCGAGCAGAAAGCGCAGTCGGGACACAGCTCCATGTGGTGCCGCCCAAGGCTGTCACACACCTGGGGTGGATCCAGCAGGGAGTCAGGGGGGAAAAGGAGACCGAGAACCTCCCCAGAGAGGAGGCTGAGGAGTTTGCATATTCCTGGCTTGGAGCCTGCCTCCCTGGTCACCCAGGTCAGCTTCTCTCAGGAGATGGCCTGCACACAGTGGGGGCCAGAGGTGGACACTGGTGTCCTTACCGAGTCTCCGAACCCAAGGACTCTTTTTTCCATCTCCTTCCAGGCCATGGTGAGCATTGATGAGAGGCAATTTCCCTCCAGCACTGCATAGCACAGGACCAGCACTGCCTCATCGTTCTGCAGGGCTAGAAGGCTGACAGAGAAAGGGAAG